AACAGAAGCTTAATATCAGGAAAACATAATAAGCTTTTTTTTTTTTAAAACAACCTACACTTCTTCTTTTGACATTTTGTTCGTATCATCTGACAATTAATCCACTGCAGACAAAAAGTTACTTTTGTGAATATTTGGCAGTTCTTTACATATAGTATATGCCAAGTTTTTTAATTTTGACACAAACAGGCTGTATAATTGTCCTTATCCAGGCCTCATGTATTTGCCATAAATATTTCTTTCCAGTCTGTTCTTTTCCTTTTTAATTATGCTTTTTTATTACACAGAATTTGCTATTTTAATGTAATCAAGAACATCTATCTTGCCTGAATAATTCCCTTTTATTTGCCGAACAGAACATCATTTCCCTATTCCAAACCTCATTCCATTTTCTTCCATCTTTTTTATCTTTTTTTTTTTAAAATGTTTCAGGTCATTACAAGATGGAACTCTCTGAGGTGGACTGTGTAAAATCTAAATCATTCCCCACCAAATTGCCAACCAATTTTCTCCCCTCTTGTCCTTTTGTTAAACAATGAATCCTTCCCCAGCCTTATTTTCTCTAGGCTTATCAAACAATACCCCTTGGTCCGACATTCGCTTGGACATCTGCCTTAGCTCATCTATTCCACTGATCTATCTCATTCTCCCTTTTTCACTTGTACCAGATAGTTTCTTGTGATAACCAATTTTTAATATGCTTTCAAGCCTGAGAATACAAGATGATTTTCATTAGTTTTTCTTTTCAGCATGCCCCCTGAGAGTCTCGCCTGTTTGTTTTTCCATATAAATTTGATTACGGTTTTAGCCAGTTCTGCGAAGCAATCTCTTGGTGTTACATTATGTATGGAAAATCATTTTGAGAGTAGCACCTTTTCTATTCTATACTAAGCCAACCCATCAATCATCACCTAATATCCTTTCATTTGAGTCATTACAGGTTTATAATTGTCCTAAGACAGGCTCTGTGTATTTCAAGGTTGGTTAATTTTTGAATAGTGGATGGTTTTTGTTATTGTAAGTTGGGCTTCTTCATTATGTTGTTTTCTCAGTCTTTTATTGTTAAGAAATAAGGATGCAAAAAATTGTCTTACATGTAATTGGAAAAGATAAAATACTATTAAAAAAAAAAGAAAAGAAATAAGAATGCAAATTACCAGAGAATGGGCAGCTAGAGACAAAGATGGTGTCTGAGAAGAGAATTTGAACTATTGTTCAAAAGCATTATGAGAATGCTATTCCCGGCCAGGAGAGTGAGGAGGAAAATGATCGAGACGGTGAAGACCCACCCGTTCATGTCCCATGAAGATTGGGTGAAGGCATTGGGGATGTCTAGTCAAAAGAAGACTCAGGACATGATGAGTGACTTCCAGTTTGGGAAAGTGTCGCATGGAAGAGGGCTTAAGCTTGCTCTGTTTGGGCCTAGATTGTAGAACCAAGAGCAATGCGAGGAAGGCACAGAAAGGTAAACTGAGGATTAATGTCAGGAAAATCTTACTAACAGTTGGAGCTGCCCAAGAATAGAAGGGGCTGCCTTGGGAGGTGGTGATTCTCCCCTTCCCTTGCCCCGCCCACAACTAGAGGTCTTGAAGCAGAGGCCAGATAAACCCTTGGAGGGTAGACTGAGGTGGGGCTTGACCTGGGTAGTCACTGGAGATTACGGAGCAGTGGAGGGGCAGGAGATGCTACTACAGGGAAGTGACTCCAAAAAGGAGGTTTTAGGCTCAAACCTGAGAGCCCAGGCTGCAAGGAAGGTCTGCTGGTTTTTACTGGGCTGAAGCCCTGGTCATATGGATGGATGGCTAGAACTGAGGCTTAGAATCTGGAGCCTGGACCTGGAATCAGGAAGACCTGAGTTCAAATCCAGTCTCAGACACTTCTTAGCTATGTGACCCTGGGCAAGTCACTTCAGCCCTGTCTGCCTCAGTGTCCTCAGCTGTAAAAAGGGGATGATAACAGCATTGGTGATTGTGAGGATCAAACGAGATATTTGTAAAACACTTAGTACAGTACCTAGCATATAGTAAGTGCTTTATATGTGTTTGTTTTCTTCTCCTCAGCTCAGGTCAGATGCTGGGGTCAGGCAGACAAACCAGTAGGGTCTGTGCCTCCCCATGGGCCCAGACCAGCTTTTCCCAGGAGGAAAAGTGGGGAAAAACCCCAGCAAGCCCTGTCTCCTCAATCAACAGGTAGAGAGATAAATATTCCTCGATTTTGAATGGACTAACATAGCAGGTCCTGATCAGGGTTGTCATGCCCCAGCCTGGAGCCATTTCAAATGAGATTAATAACTGAAAAGTGCTTAGCACAGTGCCTGGCACATAGTAAGTGTTATATAAATGTTAGCTATTTTTATTATTGTTATTATTAGTACGGATTCTAGGCTACAGGACGACATAGTGCAGTGGATAGAGCCCTGAATTTGGAATCACAGGGCCTGAGTGCAAATCTGGATGTTGCCACCCTTCTCCTCCTTGGGCCTCAGTTTCTTCCCCTATAATATGAGGCAGTTGGACTCAGTGGCCTCTGGGGGCCCTTCCAGCCCTAGAGCTAGGATCCTATGTGTGGCCCTAGGTGAGTCACTACCCTTCTGTGGGCCTCAGTTTCTTTCTTTGTAAAATGAGAGGGTCTTCCAGCTGGAGACCTCGGATCTGATCATCTGATAATACAGTCAGAAAAAATACCTAGGCTCTCTTGAGTAATTACCTTAAATACTTCATAAAAGGCAAAAGCCCAGAAAGCCTCAAATGTCCTAATTAACAGGGCAATCATCCTCCCACTAGTCACCACACTGTGAGCCAACTCCCTGTTCTGCTCAGGGGAAGCCTGTGTTCTCTCAAGCCCACTGATCCCCCAAGAGGGCAGCAGATGGCAGCAGAGAGCCAGAAACCTCCCCCAAGCTCTCCCTTGGCCCCCCTCCCCAGGCTACCACACTCACACCTCCTCCATTCTCACCCTCAACGTGATTTGTCAGGTAATGAATTAGGGTAACTGCTCAGGCTTGTTTGTCCCTGAAAAAAAGGGAGCTCAACCCCTCCCCCCTTCTTTGTTGCTGAACTGTTAGAAGAGAGGGTTTTATGGGAAAGGGAGGGAGGAAAGATACTAGGAAATGAAGGGGATGTAAAAACTTTTTTAAAATTAATTTTAAAATTTCATTAAAAAAAAAAGGACATTCTAGGACTACCTGTACGACCCTGGGCAAATCACTTTTCTCCGGACCTCAGTTTCCTTCCCTGTAAAATAAAGGGTTGGACTGGAAAGTGACTTCCAGAGATCTAAATCTATACCCCTCTCATCTTATACTGAGGGAAGTACATGTCCACCAAACTAGACCAGGTCAGATGTGGCCCACGTGAAGCTGATGGGCAAGAATGTTCATGGTAAATGGCATTCATCATTACCCATCTGGATTGTACTAGGATTGAGGTTCAAACAGAATAGCCATAATCCTGTTCTCTCTCACGGAGGCCAGGCTGCCAGGCCTGGAGCTTTCCAATTTAGCCTAATCCATCCCTGTTGACAAATTCTTATAGTCATGCCTGAGCACTGCTCTTCCACCCTCACGGTTCATTCTCCCCATTTTACAGAGGAGGAAACTGAGGCTCAAACAGGCAAAGTGGTACCCAAGGTCATAACATCCAATCCAATCCAAACCAATCCAATTTGTCTACTACCTGTTCAGTATTCTGCCCCTTAGGATGGAAGTTACTTCCTGTCCTCCCAAATCCTACAATTACTTAGGTCCTAGCCTCTTTGCCCCTTCCTTGGCTAAGAGATGGTACCCATAAGAACCAGCTTCCCAATATGACCTCTACATAGGTTCATGAGTTTTGCTCTACTCCTAGGCCACATCCAGAGCCCACACCCTGGTACCATGCTCTTGGTCCCTAGGGGGTTGGAAAGTGAACAGATCTCCCCATCCCCCACTGGAAAAACTCTCTAGTGCACAGTCCTTGCTCCCGGTGGATTAGCACTAGGATCTTCCTATGTGAAGGGCTTAAAATCACAAACTCTGAACAGTACTATTATTGTAGAAGCAAGAAATTAAGCTTCAGATGGTAATTAAACTATAATTAAATTCGAAACCAAGGCCTAAATCTATAGCTAATCTAAAAGCTAAAAAAACCAAGGTCACAATCTCTAGATGAAGCTTTATCGTCTAGTAACAAGAAGGTAGGAGCGGCGATGGTTGGGAGCCAAATGCTCTTTGTCCTGGAAATACAACAACCAGAAACTAAAGCCGTGAGTGGAAAATTTGCCGAATGGTTAAGAGCTCACCTTTGGGTTTTGAAGACCATTATTTTACACCCCGTTTTACACGACAAACAGACCTCTGATTTGATTTCTTAATTCCTTGAGATAAATATTCTGTCCTGATTTGCAACTGCGTGGACCATGCCAAGCCAGAGAGGGTTCGGTTCCTAAGGCTGCTCAGGCAAATGTAGAAAACCCTCCGGAGCGGGCTGGTTACTAGGAGCTCCCTCCCTCTCTGACTTCACGCTGTCATTGCATCACTTTGGGAGACGCACTGTCCTTACATTTACATTATCTATCTGTCTGTCTATCTATTGATCTATTATCTACCTACTATCCATCTTTTCTATGTACCTACCTGGCTACCTACCTACTGATCTACCAAGCTAGCTATCTAATCTAGCTAGCTAGTTATCTACCAACTATCTACTTATCTACTTATCTTTTATCTTTCTTTCTTTCCTTCCCTCTTTCCTTCCTTCCTTTCTACCTTCCTTCCTTCCTTCTCATCTTATATCTATCTATTATCTCTCTCTGCTTTATATAGACACACTGTATACACAGAGATACGTATTTAAGTAAATAGCAATACAATGCTAAACCTTTTATTTTTCTTCTTTAGCCTTGTCCCATTTATGCAGCCAGCTAGGGATCCTGGGGTAGATACTCCTTCCAAAAGCACCATCAAGTCTAGACTGGTCCACATGGCTGGTGGTGAGTGAGGAGTGTACCTGGTTGGGCCTTACCTCCTTTCCACAGCAGATAGACAGGCACCACGTAGAGCATGATGTGTTGAACATAGTAAACTTCCAACTCCAAGGGCAGCTGTGGAGAAAAAAGGAGGGGAAATAAGGGGAGTACTTCATCAGAAAGGTTGGACAGAATCTCTGTGGGCATACTTGAGAAAGAATTCTCTGAGTTACAGACTTAATAAGGAGCTCTAGCCTTTAACTGAAGGGAGTCCAGCCCATACCCTCCAGTCGTGCCTCAGCTGGTTTCTTTGCCACTCTAATCTACTGCTCCTCCTTTTGCTATCTGGAGCCAAGCAGGACAAGTTGACTCTCTAATGTCAGGAAGCAAAGTTAAGCCTTCTGGCCTCTAAGTAGCTAAGTGGAACAGTGGCTAAGAGTGCTAAATTTGCAATCAGGAAAACCTGAGTTAAAATCCCGTCTTGAAAGCTAGGTGGCACAGTGGATAGAGCACTGGCCCTGGAGTCAGGAGGACCTGAGTTCAAATCTGGCCTCAGATACTTGACACTTATTAGCTGTGTGACCCTGGGCAAGTCACTTAACCCCATTGCCTAGCAAAAAAACAAAAAAACAACCAAAAAAAAAAATCCCACCTTGGATACTTCTCAGCTATGTGACCCTGGGCAAGTCACTCTATCCTGTTTGTCTTAGTTTCCTCAACTGTAAAATGGGGATTATAATAGCACCTACCTCCCAGGGTTGTTGTGAGGATCAAATAAGAATGTTTGTAGAGCATCTGGCATAGTACTTGGCACACAGTTGTTGTTAAGTCATTTTTCAGTCATGTCTGACTCTCCATGACCTCATTTGGGGTTTTCTTGGCAGAGATAGTGGAGTGGTTTACCATTTCCTTCTCCAGCTCATTTTACAGATGAGGAAACTGAGGCAAACAGGGTGAAGTGACTTGCCCAGGGTCACACAGCTAGTCGGTGTCTAAGGCTGGATTTGAACTCAGGTCTTTGAGACTCTAGGCCCAGGACTCTATCCACTGTAGCACCATCTAACCACCCTCTGGCACACAACAGGTGCTATATAAATGCTTATTCCCTTCCCTTATTCTCCATTAATTGTAGATGGTTTTCTGAAGGAGTGTTTTCCCCAGGAAGGAAGGAGAAAGATAGGACAATAGCTAATAGAACTGGACAGATCAAATTTTTTTTTAATGGATAAATGTTTGCAGTTAGCCAAATTCTTCGAGATTTCTTCCCCCTCCCCCCCGAAAAAAAAACCCTCAACAAAGAAAAACATCAAAGAGAATAGAAATGTTTAGAAAACCACACAAGAAAATAAAACATTAACAAATCAGGGTGCTAATTAATAGCATTTTTAAAATGTTGTTCACAACTAGATCAGCTAATATGCCAGAAGTAATGGAGATTAAGAGGGGATAAAAAACCACTACAAAAGCTATCCCAAGCAATGTCTCCAGGTGGAAAAACAATACTTTAAAAGAAATTATGCAAGAACTGGCAAGGCTCAGAATATCACAAGACCAAATAAAGAGCTTTAAAGAAGGAGAAAATCAAGAGAGGAAAGTAAGCTAGAATTGGGAAAATACACACATAACACAAAGAATGAGAAGAATTGATAAAGAAATTGATCTGTAGGGAGGAGACAATCCAAAAATCTCAAAAAATAGTAATAGGGGCAGCTAGGTGGTGCAGTAGATAGAGCACCGGCCCTGAAGTCAGGACGACCTGAGTTCAAATCTGACCTCAGACCAAACACTTGACACTTATTAGTTGTGTGACCCTGGGCAAGTCACTTAACCCCAATTGCCTAAAACAAAACAAAACAAAAAAAACCCAATAAAAAATAATAATAGCTAACATTTCTATAGTACCTACTATGTGCCAGGCACTGTGCTGAGAGCTCTACAATTATTATCTCATTTGATCCTCACAGCAGCCCTGGGAAGTAGGTGCTATTATTGTCCCCATTTTACAGACAAGGAAACTGAGGCAGACAGGGGTTTAGTGATTTGCCTGTGATCACACAGCTAGGAATTACCTGTGACCAGATCTGAACTCAGGTTTTCCTGACTCCAGGTCCGGCATTCTATTCACAGTGCAACCTAGTAAGACTCCTACAGTAGAAAATGGAATTGCAGCATCAAGCCAGCCAAGTGGGAACAGAAGCTGCAAAAAAAATTACTCATTATTCAAAGGATTGAGAAAAAAACAGACCCAAGTGACAGAAGCTACCGGGGTGGGGAACCTACGGCCTTGAGGCCACATGTGGCTCTCTAGGTGCCCAAGTGTGGCCCTTTGATTGAATCCAAACTTCATAGAACAAATTCCCTTAATAAAAGGATTTGTCTAGCCACAAGACCATGGAAGGTAGACTACGGCACAATGACTTAAGAATTACTGACATCCCAGAGGACTTAGGAAGACAAAGTAGCATTTATAAGATATTTTCCTGAAATAAAACTCTCCAGAATTTGTGAAAGTTAATGTTGAAATACCACAAGGAAAGGGGCAGCTAGGTGGTACAGTGGATAGAGCACCGGCCCTAGAACCAGGAGGACCTGAGTTCAAATCAGCCTCAGACACATGATACTCACTAGCTTTGTGACCCTGGACAAGTCACTTAACCTCGATTGCCTTGCAAAAAAAGAAAAGAAAAAGAAATACCACAAGGAAGACTCCACAAGATTCTCCAAAGGAGAACCCAAGATGTAAGATGGCTAGATATATCATAAGTAAATTGCAAAGCTATAAAGATAAGGAAAAAAAATATTGCCAGCTATAAGAAGCAAAGAAATGACTCTCCCCAAACTACAATTAGGACCACAGAAGACTTTCTGAGCAGAACAAGGGAGGGTTACAGGAATGGAAAGAAAACCTTTACAAAAATTAGAAGCATAAGCCATAATGTCCAAATTATCTCTCCATCCAACTCTATACTCTATGAAGGCAGAAGAGGGTGATTTGAGAAGCAAACAGATTTTGAAAAGTTGACACTCTGAGGAACTCCTAAAAGAACAAACAAGTTCATTGGCCAATTCGCAAAAAACAAGTTTCATAAGAATATTTCGGAGAAGCACAAGGGGGAAAAAAACGAGGGTAGAAAAGGAAGAGAAATCTGAAATTGACACTCCTATCTTTGACAAAGGGGAAGTTCAAGTTCAAATGACCTAGATGGTTATTTGTGAAAAATAGATGGATTTTGTTTAAAGTAGTTCTATTATGCTTGGATTAATACTAGAAACAGCAAGGAGAAAGATATGTGTCCACCTCACAAAGACTTTCTCAGGGGATGCTAGGTGGCGCAGTGGATAGAGCACCGGCCCTGAAGTCAGGAGGACCTGAGTTCAAATCTGGCCTCAGACCAAACACTTGACACATACTAGCTGTGTGACCCTGGGCAAGTCACTTAACCCCAATTGCGCCCCCCCCCAAAGACTTTCTCAGATTCCCCATCACAGAGTGGAGGTGGCAGTGGGTTTTTGTTGGCTATGGCAGTGGAGCTAAGTCTGAGTTGACTCTACCATGCCAGACATAGGTAACAGTCCTAGCAACAGCCCAAGAGAGGCCCATCTCCAGCAGGTTGGGACCACTTGGTCATAAATTATTTTTTGGCCAGGATAGTCCATAACAACAATAACAATAGCATTTACATAGTGATTTATGGCTTGTGAAACACTTTACGATCTCATTTGTTCCCCACAATAATCTGGGGAGGTAGGTGCTATTGTTATCCTCATTTTACAGATGAGGAAACTGAGGCAAACAACAGTTAAGTGACTTACCCAGAGTCATACAGCTAGTCAGTATCTGAGGCTAGATTTGAATTCATCCTGTCTCGTCCAACAACTGCTCCCTCTGCCATCCCTACTCTCTCACTTATTTTCATTCTCCCTGCCTGCTGGCTCATTTCCTACTGCCCACATACATGCCCATGTCTTCTCTATTCTGAAAAAATCTCACCTGATCCTTCCAAACCAGCTATCATCTTAAATCTCTTCTGCCTTTTGTAGCTAAACTCCTCAAACAGGCTGTCTGCACTAGGTGCCTCCACTTTCTCTCTACTCCCTTCTTAACCTCTTACAATCTGGCTTTGGACATGTCAATGACTGTGGAGAGGTCAAGGAGAATGAGGAGAGAGGAGAGGCCATTGGATTTGGTGACTAAGACATCGTTGGTGACTTCCTTGTGGTATTTCTTTTTCTTTTCTTTTTTTGCAAGGCAATCGAGGTTAAGTGACTTGTCCAGGGTCACAAAGCTAGTGAGTATCATGTGTCTGAGGCTGATTTGAACTCAGGTCCTCCTGGTTCTAGGGCCGGTGCTCTATCCACTGTACCACCTAGCTGCCCCTTTCCTTGTGGTATTTCAACATTAACTTTCACAAATTCTGGAGAGTTTTATTTCAGGAAAATATCTTATAAATGCTACTTTGTCTTCCTAAGTCCTCTGGGATGTCAGTAATTCTTAAGTCATTGTGCCGTAGTCTACCTTCCATGGTCTTGTGGCTAGACAAATCCTTTTATTAAGGGAATTTGTTCTATGAAGTTTGGATTCAATCAAAGGGCCACACTTGGGCACCTAGAGAGCCACATGTGGCCTCTCCTCATTCTCCTTGACCTCTCCGCAGCCTTTGACACTTTTGACCACCCTCTTCTCTCTGGATTTCCAGGACACCAGCCTCTCCCCGTTCTCCTTCTTCCGATCAGACCACTTTCTCTGCCTCCCATGCTAAATCCTCCTCCAGATCGCACTCTCCAACCACTGGTGTCCCTATCCAGGTTCTATCCTGGTTCCTCCCCTCTTCTCCCAAGACACTGCTTCTTGGTGATCTCATTGGCTCCCATGAGCTTTTAATTACCATTTCTATGCAGATGATTCTTACATTTACAGGTCCTGTCCCAAGCTCTCTGCTGACCACCAATCTCACATCTCCAACTGCCTTTCAGACATCTTGAACTCAACATGTCTAAAACTGAACTCTTTCCCCCTAAATCTTCTCCCCTCCTCCTACTTCTCTATTACTGTTGAGGCCATCACCATCTTCTCAGTCCCTCAGGTTCCCAACCTAGAAGTCATCCAGTATCTCTGTCTTTGTCTCTCTCTCTGTCTCTGACTCTGTGTGTGTGTGTGTGCGTGTACTATACATATATCTATATATATCCCCATATCCAAGCCATTGCCAAGGTCTGTCAATGTCACTTCTGTCCTGAGACGCTGCCATCCCTCTGGTGTGGGCCCTCATCACCTTACACCTGGACTATTTCAATAGTTCCTGGTGGGTCTGCCCTTCTCAAGTCTCTCCCTACACCAATCCATCCACTATTCATTCAGATACCAAAGGGATTTTCCTAAAGTGCAGATCTTATCATGTGATCCTACTCAGTGTAGTAATCTTATCCTTAGATCCTACTCTAGCGGCTCCCTATTGCCTCCAGGAACAAATACAAAATGTTCTGTTTGGCCCTCAGACCCAGCCTCCTCCTACCTTTCCAGTCTCCTTATACCCTACTCCCTACCACATACTCTTCCATCCAAGTGACACTCACTTCCTGGCTGTCCCGCCAATAAAACCCTCCATCTCTTGGCAGCTTTGGACATTTTCTCTGGTTGTCCTTCATGCCTGGAGTGTTCACCCCTTTCATCTCTACCTACTGACCTCCCTGGCTTCCTTTAAGTCCCAACTAAAATCCTACCTTCTACAGAAAGCCTTCCTCAACCCCTCTGAATTCCAGTGCCTTCCTTCTCTTATTTCCTCTTTAGCCTAAACACAGTTTTTTTTTGTACATAGTTCTCTCTCCCATTAGATTATAAGCTCCTTGAGGGCAGGGACTGTCTTTTGTCTCTTTTTGTATCCCTGAGGCTGAGCACCATGCCTGGCACATAGTAGACACTTAAAAAATGTTTACTGATTGACTGACTTTGAGACCAGCTCTCCATCTTCCTTGCCACCTTACCTGCCTAACAAAGAGCCAAACGGAATAGCCTCAGGTGGAGAATGTAGATGCTGTCTCCCTCATTAGACTATAAACTTTTTGAAGGCAAGAATTGTTTTTGCATTTGTTTTGTAATGCGCAGCACAGTGCCAGGCACAAAGAAAGCTAGGTGGCACAGTGACTAGAGTCAGGAAGATCTGAGATCAAACCCAGCCTCAGACACTTCCTAGCTGTGTGACCCTGATGAGTCACTTAAGCTCTGTTTGCCTTGGTTTCCTCATCTGTACAATGGGGATAATATGATCTACTTGCAAGGGTTGTTGTGAAGATCAAATTATACGTATAATATTTGGAAAGCACTTACCACAGTGCCTGGCACACAGTAGGCACTTAATAAATGCTTGATGGTTGATCTTATCAAGCATCTTGAAGGCGAGGACAGCTTCATTTTTTTAGTTGTATCTCCAGTACCTAACACAGTGGCTTAACAAATGTTTGTTGATTAACTGATTCCTATGCCTGGTCTCTCCTGGAACCCTCAAAACCCTTTAGAGACCCTGCCACTTAACACCATCAGGCAACAGTCCTCAGTGCCTTGCCAGGCACATAGTAGGTGCTTAATAAATGTTGATTGATTGGCTCATTCTTTTTTTTCTTTCTTTCTTTCTTTTTTTTTTTTGGTGAGGCAATTGGGGCTAAGTGACTTGCCCAGGGTCACACAGCTAGTAAGTATCAAGTGTCTGGTCTGAGACCGGATTTGAACTCAGGTCCTCCTGACTCCAGGGCTGGTGCTCTATCCACTACGCCACCTAGCTGCCTCGATTGGCTCATTCTTATGCTTGGCTTCTATCTACTGTAGTCCTCAAGACCCTCCAGAGACCCTGTAGTCCAGCACCACCAGGCAACATAGTCCCCAGTGCCTGGCACATAGCAGGTGCTTAATAAATGTTTGTTGATTGGCTGATAGTACACCAAAATGGGCAAATAGCCAAATTCATCATCTCAAAAGAAAAGGGATGGACTCAAATATTGTGTCTCATTGATATTTCCACTTCTTGGGCACTTACCAGGCGAGTGTTTACCACGGGAAAAAGCAGTGCAAGCAGAGCCCCATTCAACATGTGCATTTGTAGCCTGAAAAAGAGAAATGGGCAAAAGTCTGTATTACACTCACAGTCTGCTATGAAACAGGACCTCATTCAGGTAGAAAACCTAGGAAGTGTGACCTGGGGAGGTCTAGTTGTGGACTTATGACTTAGGGGGATAATTTCCACAAGATGTATGCATGCCTTGTGGAAAGGGACACTTTCCAGGGGGCACCATTAGCATCATCGATGTTCTCAATATTTCCCAAGAGCTGCCTGGGATTTATTTCTTTCAGCTACAACATTTCCTTACAAGATAAGGTATATGCTTCCTAATCAACTGCTCACACGCAGAGTCAAATCTGTATTAATAATAATGACATTTCTTGCTGAGAGGGAAGGGAAGGGGATGGTATAGAAAGGTGGAAGGAACTCATACTGCTAGAGCAGTTTTAGCTTTGTTGGTGTTCAGTTGCGTCTGACTCTATAATTCCATGGACCATATATAGCAAACCAGGCCCTTCTCTTCTCCACTATCTGCCTTAAGCACTTGTTGTGAGGATCAAATGTTAACTCATTCAATCTTCACCACAACCCTGGGAGATGTTCCCATTTTGTGAGGCAATTCAAGAGGTTAAGTGACTCAGTCACTTATCTGACCTTACACACTTAGTACTTAGCTGTGTAACTCTGGGAAAGTTGGCCTCTATTTCCTCATTTGTAAAATGAAGGGTTCAGCTTAATGACTTCTGAGGTCCTGAGGTAGACTTGGAGCTAAACTTTCAAGTTCAGAGTCTGACCTTTACAATCTAGGTGACTTCGATCAGGTTCCTCATCTGTAAAATGGGGACAATAAAATTTACACTACTGACCTCATGTAGGTTTGTCATAACTGATTAAAGTCACAGAGTCACAGAATGTGAGAGTTGGAAGGGACCTCAGTGGCCACCAAATTCAATCCTTACCTGAAAGGAATCAACCCCCCCCCACCCCCATAATATACTTAACAAGTAATCTGCTTAAAGACCTCCAAGGTTGAGGAACCTAACACATCTTGAAGCAGTTCATTTCACTTTTAGACAGTTCTGATTCTTGGGAAGTTTTTCCTACTCTCAAGCCTAAATTTGCACAACCTTTCCCCATTGCTCCTGGTTCTGCCTTCTGGGGACAAAGAGAGCAAGCCCAATCTTTCTTTTCCATGATAGCCCTTCAAACACCTGAAGACATTGCTGTCATGTCCACCCCCCCACCCCCCAGAGTCTTTTCTGCTCCAGGAATCCCCAGTTCCTTCAAATGATCCTCATCAGACATGGAATTGTGAAATTGATTTCTTGACCCCAGTCTAAAACTTTACATTTATAGCCCTACTGAATTTCATCTTATTAGGTTCAGTCCCAAACTCTAACTCTTTATGAAGTCTTTGACAGTCTGGTGAAGCCTATAGACCCCTCTTAGGAAAACATTTCTAAATAATTGAAGAAAATGATAAAGTTCAGTTAGAGATTAGTGACTATAAAGATGTAATTTTTTTCATCCAAGTTTATGGACCACCTGAAGTTTATTAATAGATCCCTTGGGAGGGGGCAGGATGTATGTGTGTCTGTAAACACCTCCTCCATCTCCCCTCCTTCCCCCTCCCCCCAAGCCGACAAGATCTTTTTAAATCCTGACTGTCATGAATTACATTTGATATCCCTCACAACCTTGTGTTATCTGCAGATTTGATGAGCTTGCCTTCTATAGCTTTATCCAGGTCACTAAGGAAAATGTTTAACAGCTGAGGGTCAAGCACAGATTCCTGAAGCATTCCACCAGAGACCTCCTGTCAAGTTGATATCAAACCACTCCATGAGTATTCTTGTTTTTTTTTTTAGGCAGTTGGGGTTAAGTGACTTGCCCAGGGTCACACAGCTAGTAAGTGTCAAGTGTTTGGTCTGAGGCCGCATTTGAACTCAGGTCATCCTGACTTCAGGGCCGGTGCTCTATCCACTGCGCCACCTAGCTGCCCCCTCCATGAGTATTCTTTGGTACTAACCATCCAACCAGTTTAGATCCTACCAATTGTGCCATCATCTACATCTTTCCATCTTTCCCACAAGAAGAGCATGGGATACTTTATTAAGCCCTTTGCTAAAAATTCACCTAGACTACATCTATAGCGTTCCCTGGCCTTCTAATCTGATGTAAAAATGGCACAACCAGGTTTTGATGAAGTCATGTTGGCTCTTTGTGATTAAGATTTTCTTTTCTAGATGTTCATTAAATATCTCTAATAATACATTCTAAAAATTTCTAGGAATTAAACTTATACTCCCTGGCCTACGGTTTGCAGGCTCTTTGCTATCCTTTTTCAGACAACAGGACGCCATTTGCCCTTTTCCCGTCTTATGGTACCTCTTCTGCTTTCCACAAGGCTTGGTCATCCCATCTGCCAAGTCTATGAGGACTTGAGGATGTCATTCATCTGGGGGAGGGGTCTAGAATTCATTAAGGGCACCTAGATGCTCCTTTCTCATCTCTTTAATTATCTTGGGTATCAGTTTCCTGCTAGCAATTTTTGTACAGTCATATCCAATGCATGGATCAGTCTTTTTGGCAGAGGAAACAGAAGCAAGAGTCAAGCAGCTCTGTGTTCTCTCTCTGTTGTCAACTGTCATTGCCCCATTCAACAGAAACACAGGGTAACGTTGGGTGATAACAGATAAGACAAGTGGCTTCATTCCTATTTTGGGCCACTTTTTGATCCTTCTCTTTCATTTTTCTTTTTATATGGATTTAGCTTGTGCATAACCTCTTCTGATTTTGCTTTTTTCTACCTTGTATTATCTCACAAAGTTTGCTTCGGATTTTTTTTTCTATTGTACAAATTTGTTGGTCTTAATTGCATTCTAAAGATTCACTATAGAAAATTTATTTATCAGTTTCCTTGCTGTTAGTCATTTCGTTTGACTCCAGTCTGTTGTTGCTCCTATGATACTGCTGCTATGAAAATCTCTGACAAGCTTTTGTTTGTTTGTTTTTAATGAAACAAACAAACTGTTTTGGTATATATTCCCAATGATGGAATTATTGGGTCAAAGGGTATGATTAGTTTTGAAATTCTTCCTGCTCTCTGCCAGAATGCTCTCTAAGAAACATTCTACAAGTTTATAGCAGTAATGAATTAGTGTACCTGTTTCTTCACAGTCCTACCAGCATCAAGTCGCACTGCTTTTAACAATTTTTGCTAATTTGATGGGTAGGATGTGAGAATGAGCATTTTTTCAAATGTTTACGTACAATTTGTACTTTCTCTTTTGAAAATATTTTATGTCAATTTTATGACAATAGGGAAAGGGAAGGGAATAAGTACTTTTATAGCACCTACTGTGCTATATATATATATAGACACTTACCTTGTGTCCTGCTTCTTGCTGTCACAAAAAGTACTTCAATAAACATTTATGTCTATTAATAACTGCATATTTATGTATGTGATCTTTACCTCTTATTTTTGAGCTCCTCCTTAGGCTATCTGGCCAGTAGTAGAATCACAGCTTCAAGAGATGGGTATAGTTTTGTGACTTTTCTTGCTTGGCATATAGTAAGCACTTAATAAATGCTTTTTCTTTGAAAAAAAATCAGTAATTTTCAGTAGTTTTCTTAAATGGTTGGATCAATCAATTCACAGATTGACCTACAATGTCTGTCATCCTATGACCCTCTTGTTGTTGTTGTTTAGTTGTTTTTCAGTTGTGTCCGACTCTCCGTGACCCCATGTGGGGTTTTCTTGACCAAGATAGTGGAGTAGTTGGCCATTTCCTTCTCCAGCCAGCCCATTTTCCAGATGAGGAAACTGAGGCCAACAGGGTGAAGTGACTTGCCCAGGGTCACACAGCTAATAAGTGTCTGAGGCCAGATTTGAACTCAGGAAGATCGGTTTTCCTGACTCCAGGCCACACTCTATCCACTGCAGTGCCATCTGGCTGTTCCTCTATGCTTTTGTAGCATTTATCATCCCTGTTTATGGCCATCTTTTCCAGACTGCTGGTGTGAGATGAAATTTAAGTTGTTTTAATTTGTATTTGTTTTATTATTAGTGATTTGTAGCATTCTTTCATATAATTGTTGATAGTTTGGGGACGAAGCATAAGGGTCACCAGGAGCCCTTTCCCACCATGGTGCTGGCTGGGCTCAGCTCAGGTTCAGAGGCACAGACTGGGGAGTCTGGCTTCCTAACCAAGCCAAGTCTCTGTTCTTCCCTAACCCCACCAACCAGGCCAAAGCCCTAGGGCAGCCTGGCCGCAGTGAAGAAAGCAATGGCCCCAGGGGCAGTGAGGTGGGGCAGTGGATAGAGCATCAGCCCTGGAGTCAGGAGGACCTGAGTTCAAATCCAGTCTTAGATGCATAACACTCACTAGCTGTGTGACTCTGGGCAAGTCATTTAACCCCAACTGCCCTCACCAAAAAAAAAAAAAAAAAGAAGAAGAAATGAATGGCCCCTCTGTTCTACACTGACCAATGCCTGTAAAGTTCCAGCCACTTTGCCCTATCCCAGCCAAGGGCGTCCCAGGGTTTCACCCCTTAGCCCTACCCCACCAAATCGGGCTCCAGCCAGGATTCACCTCTGCACTGATTAGAGCCTCCCTCCACAGTCACAGTCAGGCTAGACTGGATAACCGAGCAGTAAAACAAAGAAAATGAGGCAATCCCCTGTTGCTGATTTTTGGAAGTATATAGATAAGAGCTGACCAAGATAGGCTGTGCACTATATCATGGGAAGAAGGGTAGTGCCCACACTGATGAGATCACAGGTTCATTGGAATACTTTTATTAAAATGATTTATGACATTTATAGTTTTGTTTATGTTGATCCATTCTTACATTCCTGGCATAAATCCCAAGTAGCCATAATGAATAATTTAATATAATGCTGTAGTCTCTTGGATACCATTTTCTATCATATTTTTGCAGCAATATTTGTGATATTCATTTAATGTTTTCTTTTGCTGCTTTATTTCTCTCTGACTGAGCAGCCACCTTTTCTCTATTTGAGTGACCACTTTATGT